GGTGGGGGACATGGTTCTCACAGTCCAAACAAGCCAAGAGAAAGGGAAAATCTGCGGGAAGTGTTGCTGCAGGAGCTCGGCATTTCCCGAACAAGCCTTTTGGGTTTTATTTTTGATCAGACCCAGTGATGCTTGAGATACCATAGGGGAAGATGGGCATCAAAGGTAGGCAGTGTCTGTAAGGTGAGCACCCTCCCAGATGCACTGCTGATCCGGTCACAATTAGCTTCACGATGGGCTTATACTCACCATTTAACATACACACAATAAAATATTTTTGCTGCGTACAAGAGTACAGCAGGTAGGCATTTGCCTTGCATGAGGCTGACAGGGGTTGATCCTTGAGCATTGCCAACAGCAACGTACGAGAACCACCAGCAATAAGTTCTGAGCATCCTCAGGCCCCAAAACAAAAGAAAACTCAATTTCTTCCTATATTCAAAAAACCATGGCAATGATCCAAAGGCAAAGATAAGCAGATAAGCATGCCGTCAGATTGACAGAGCGGGGTCCAGCAAGGGTAACCGGCCCTGTAGGTGTACAGTCAGGCTGGTTATTCAGCTGGGGGGACAAGGGTCTTCAAACTCATGGACTATTCGACATACCCAACAGACGAGGAGGAATGACAACAAAGTCAAGAGAGCAAAGCACAGGATCTCTCCGTAACGAGCAGCTCCGGGGAGTGAAGGGCAGCTTGAGCGCAGCACAGATGCCTGATCCAGTGGCCGGAGGACACAGTAGCATGTTTCACACACAGTCAGGGCACCCACACACTGCACAGGGACCCAGCCAGGAAGGGTCCTCAGACACTCACCTGCACACACCTCACCTCCCCGGCTTTAGGGCTCGTCTTCCAGCCAGGAAATTAACGCAGGATTCACCCCAGAAAGCCCTGCTCCACAAGAGACGGAGCAATGGATTAGTCACAAGGAATGAAAAGGCGACAAGTAATCCTTGTGTGTCCCTGGTCTAACTGGTCATACTATTGAAAAGGCATGATCATAACATCCACTTTCAATATGCCAAAGACTGGTGGGGAGTGAGAAATAAGACAAGGATTAAATGTAAGAGTGAAATAAGGGAGTCCCAGATGATACCACTAAGATCCCAGCACTGATGTAGTTTTGTTTTGGGGTTACACTTGGAGATGCTCAAGGGTTAATCCTGTATACGCGCTCAGGAATCACCTCTGGTAGTATTGGCTCCATGGAAGGTCAGTGATTGAACCCAGTTTGCTTTGCGTAAGAAAGCGCCCTCCTCACAGTGCTTTTGGAGCATCTGTAATCCCGAGTTTCTCTTTTACCTTTACTTTGAGCTTACAATTCCCCAAGTGAGGCTTGATGACTTAGGTGAATCTGAACTTTGTATTTGAAGTGAATACTTCCTATACTATGTTCCCGTTAGTCCTTTTATACTTTACTACAGAGCAATGTTCTTTGCTTAACACAGAAAGACTATTAATATGCTCCTAATATTTGTCCCATATCCTGAAATACATCTACTCCTGGTACCTGTCATATTTACTTGACTCAAGCTTCAGTTGCCATACATCCTAACACTCCAAAAAGGGAGGTCGCACACAGGGCTGAGATAGATCTGGGGAAAATAGCAAAGCTACCCTGGAATCGAAATGGAATAATCTAGAAAGCATGAAAGAACAGTCTTGATATTAGCTGTTATGACTTAAGAGACAGGACCTCCTGAAGGAGAAGCTGTACTGGTCTGAAGACCTAGTATGGGATATATGGAAGAAGCCCAGCAACCTTGCCCTCAGAGTCCAGAGAACTAAATTTTTAAATCTATATTTCTTACTAATTTATGCACATATTTGCAATTCTTAATAAGAAGTAAATTTATTTTTTTAATATTTTCTAGCAGATAGGGAAAGAGGAAAGCAATATAATGCTGTTGACCCTGGGAAATCCCTCTGTATAGCCACTGGGAGACAGTGTCTCCTTGAATTCTCCAGAATTGTCTACATCAAAATCCTTTACCTCTGTAGGGGCTGGAGTCATAGCACAGCAGAAAGGGTATTTGCCTTGCACGCGGATGATGCGGGTTCTTTTCCCAGCATCCCATATGGTCCCCCGATCACATCCAGGAGTAAATTCCTTAGTGCAGAGCAAGGAGTTACCCCTGTTCATGGCCAGGTGTAACCCAAAAAGCAAAAACAAACAAAAATGCTTTATCTCTGTAAATGATCAGTCACTCTATGTGTAGTCCTATAGCTCAACACCCTTCAATGTTCTGTAGTTATGCTAACAGCTTTACATTAAACAGGCCATTCTGACCATCAGTCAGTGGTCCTCCATATCTTTGTTCCTCTTTTGACACCAGCATAACGTCCCTTTAGAGATTCCTCTGAGAGGCAATCAGGTATGTTCATCCCTCTGGGGTGAAACTAACTGCCATGTTGACAGAGGTAACTGCATCTTGAACCAGCACACACTAGGGTAGGAGGAGGCCATCCCACTCCATACAATGGGCCTGAGGTTGAGACACTGCAGCACCCTAGGGGTTCTCAGGGATCTCCCTTTTCCCCACTCCAGAAGGGAGGAACCTGCCTCCACCAACACTTTAGGGTGAAGAGCCCCAGTAGTCACTGGATGGAATCCTGATCTCCTACAATGGAACTATATTAGAAGGTGATGGACTTGCACGCAGCCACCCCAGAGACAAAGCCAATGGACACTGCTCCTGTGAGCAACACCTAAGCACTCACCCAGCAGGACCAAAAGAAAGCAACACTGGGTTGGACCAAAACTCTAGACACTCCTCCCCCCATGCCATACCCTCACATCACCTGTTCTAGGGATGAGAATGGGGCACTCAATGTCCAGTGAGCAACTCAAAGATGTTGTGGACTGGAGGACTCCTGGGTTGGCCACATGCAAGGCAAGTAGCCTACTTGGTGTACTATTGCTCTAGCATTTCTAAATAAATTTTTCCCAGAACACCAGGAGTGACCCCTGAGCAAAACTCACCTTCCCCATACTCAAATATCTCCCTTTCAGGAAAAGAAAAAACAACAAGTATACCGATGTAGCCACCCCCAAGAGCCAGTTTTCCTGATGTTCTGGTCAGGGAGAGATGAAGAGAAAGGGATTGTTTGCAATTGGACATGTGGAAGTAGAAAAAATTACTTGCAGGATTATTGTTGTTTATTCGGCTATTGATTAGGCTGACTGAAATCGGCATGAACTCCACCTTACTTTTTTCCCCCTTTTTTGATAATTTCATTGTTTTGAATCGCCCTGAGTGATGTTACAAAGCTTTTGGGTTTAAGTCTCGTTCATACAATGAAGCACCCATCCCTTTACCGTGCCCATTTTCCACCACAAAAACCCCGAGTATACCCCCATTCTACACCCTCCCCCTAACTGTGGGGGCAGATAATTTCCATATTTCTCTCTACTTTGATCACATTCAATATTTTGACACCAGACCCACCATTATTACATTTAGGATTTAACCCCAGCACTCAGTTCAAAAAGGCAACTGTAGACAATTTGTTTTCTATTGCTGGTTATAAATAACATATGATTTTATAATTTTGAAATTTTAATAATATGGAGGGATTTCTCCCAATGCCTGCTGAGTTCCGAGCTTTGCTCCTCAGTCTCTGGGATCATGGCAAGTAAGCAGCTATATCAGGAGCCAGAGCGGCGGTTCGTGGGCATGATTTAGGTTATTGTTGGGGCGGGGAAGAAATGGCCGGCTCCACCCCCATCCCCCCATCCTGTGAAGCACCAAAAAACTTGTCACTGCTGGCCCAAACGTGACTTTCCAATGGCCTCTGGAGGATGGTGGCCAAGGAGCCGCCAAGGTGTAGGTGGAGGGACAGCACCAATTCCCTCTGGGGTTGTCCGGGGATTACTCTCCTAATCCTGGATCCAGACTCATTTCTGCCAAGAGCTGCTGGGTTTCGAGATTTGTCTCTGAATCTTTGGGATCATAGCCATTAAGCAGCAGTGAGAACAGAGCAGGTAGGATGTTTGCCTTGCACGTGAAAAACCCAGGTTTGAATCCCGGTAACAGTTTGGTCCCCTGAGCACTGCCAAGAGTAATTCCTGAGTGCATAAGCCAGGAGTAAACCCATGCACATCGCTGGTTGTGACTCAAAAAGAAAAAAAAATAATCCAAAGAGTAAATTTTCAGAGACAAAAACTTCTAATTTGTGCAGACACGCGCCGAAGTCCCAAACCAAGCACGGGAGCCAATGAAAATGACGGACCACAAAAGTGTCCCTTTCCTTTGAGGGCTGCCCGTGAACATATCTGGAGGTTCAATAAGTGTTATGTCCAGTCCAAAGGCTACAAACAGGGCCCCGCCAGTCCTGAGTAGGGAGGTCTGAGATGGCCAAGACCACCATTCTCTGCAGGTCCCTCACACCAAGGACCAAAGTTCATGTGCCCACCCTCCAGTGTCATCTTGGACCTGGATGCGATCTTGGCTGCAGGGACCCTCAGGATAACGCACCCTCACCCATGAGACCTGCACCGCAGAACGGCTCCCAATGAATCCCTCAAAAGCTCCACATTCCCTAATGCCTGGATATACAGAAAAAGTTATAAAATAACAAGCAGGAAAACGCCCTACAAGCTGGCGTGTCCTGCCACTCAAGTTCCCAAACTAGGAGTTGCAGGGTGCTCAAGCGTTTTTCTCCGGTGTGAATGAGCCTATGTTCACTAAGTCTGAGGCTCCAGCAAAGGCCTTCCACATTCCTTACAAATATACGGTTTATCTCCAATGTGAATTCTCCTATGTACATTAAGTATTGAGGTCACAGCAAAGGACTCCCCACATTCCTTACATATAAAGTTTATCTCCAGTGTGAATTCTCCTATGTACAGTCAATTGCGAGGATGTAGTAAATGCGTTTCCACACTCCACACATATATAAGGCTCCTCTCAAGTATGAATTCTCATGTGTCTAGAAAGGGAAGAGGACCACGTGAATGCCATTCCAGATGTCTGACACTGATGAGATTTCTCTCCACTGTGAATTCTCCTATGCTTCCTAAGGTACCGAGATTGACAGAAAGCCTTCCCACATTCTTCGCAGATATATGGTTTCTCTCCAGTGTGAATTCTCCTATGTTCATTAAGTCTTGAGGCTCTAGAAAAGGCCTTCCCACATTCCTTACATATATACTGTTTCTCTCCAGTGTGAATTCTCCTATGTACTCTGAGTATTGAAGCTGCAGCAAAGGCCTTTCCACATTCCTTACATATATATGGTTTCTCTCCAGTGTGAATTCTCCTATGTCCATCAAGTTTTGAGGCTTCATAAAAGGCCTTCCCACATTCCTTACATATATATGGTTTCTCTCCAGTGTGAATTCTCCTATGTACATTAAGTCTTAATGGGTGGGGTCACACCCACCACCTGGCCCCCTGGCGCCGTGTAATCCCATCAGCGGCCAAGACTCAGAGACTACAAAATGCAGCTCCCGGAACCACGCGGCCGCAAATGCGGCCGCGCGACATCTTATCAAAACATCTTTTTATGATATCTCATTATCTCATTCCTACTGTGGACAAACTTGCAGGCTATCGAATATAGCCTGCCCACAGGGCAGAGTCTGGCAAACTCCCCGTGGCACACCAAATATGCCAAATACCAGTAACAATGATGGGTCTCATTCTCCTAAAAAGCCTTGAATATAATCTCAGGGCTAGGATGAAAGAGACGTTACTGGGGCCTGCTCGAGGCAATCGACATTAAGTCTTGAGGCTACAGCAAAGGTCTTCCCACATTCCGTACACATATACGGTTTCTCTCCAGTGTGAATTCTCCTATGTACAGTAAGTTTGGAGGCTGCAGCAAAGGCCTTTCCACATTCCATACATATATACGGTTTCTCTCCAGTGTGAATTTTCCTATGCCCAGTAAGTTTTGAGGCTGCAGCAAAGGCCTTCCCACATTCCTTACATATATACGGTTTCTCTCCAGTGTGAATTATCCTATGTACTCTAAGTATTGAGGCTTCCCCAAAGGCCTTTCCACATTCCTTACATTTATATGGTTTCTCTCCAGTGTGAATTCTCCTATGTACAGTAAGTTTTGACGCTCTAGCAAAGGCCTTCCCACATTCCTTACATATATACGGCTTCACTCCAGTGTGAATTCTCCTATGCACAGTCAATTGTGAGGGTGTAGTAAAGGCCTTTTCACACTCCACACATATAAAAGTCTTCTGTCCAGTGTGAATTATCCTATGTACTCTAAGTATTGAGGCTTCAGAAAAGGTCTTCCCACATTCCTTACATATATACAATTTCCTCCAGTGTGAACTTTCCTATGTACAGTAAGTTTTGAGGCTCCAGCAAAGGCCTTTCCAAACTCCTGACATATATAAGTCTTCTTTCCACTATGCGTATTCATATGTCTATTAAGGGATGAGGTGTGAATAAAGGCCTTCCCACATGTCTGACATTTATGAAGTTTCTCTACACTATGAGTATTCATATGTCTATTAAGATCTGAGGCCTTCCCACATGTCTGACATTTATGAGATTTCTCTCCCGTATGAATTCTCCTATGTCTAATAAGATGTGATGATTGATTGAAGACCTTCCCACATGCTTCACACGCATAATGTTTCACTCCGGAATTTATATTCAAATGGTCATGATGGAGTAACCCTTGACTCACACTTTGTTCTCGGTGCTCACTTTTCTGGGAATTCTGTCCACTGTAGTTTTCTAAGGGAACACCACAGTGCTGAGAACATGGGGAAGCTCCCCCACATTCCTTACACTTACATGGGTTCTGCCCACAGTGACTGTGGTTGAGAGCTTGTCGCTGGAAGGGAATCACTATAAACAGTGCTTCTTTCCCTAGTGGCTGCCAGACTGGGGGATTTTGTGACTGTGAACTGAGAACAACACAACCCAAGGAACTTTTTCCAAGGGAGGGCTTCTTCAAAGTGAGATAGCACACGCCATTCTGATCACCCTCAGAAGACATCCCAAATGTCTTCGGGTCCTCATGGGACTGAAGGTGGGATTGCTCACTAGAGATATTGTCATAGAGTGCAGGATCAGAGACATTCCACTCAGCCTGGCAGCTTCCCTGTAGAACAGCAGAGGATTCCAATTATTGACTTATTCACCGAGTCTTCCTCTCAAAAAACTGAGCCCTTCAAGTGGGATTTCTCACATATGCAACAAGCGAATGCAATTACCGACATATGCATTGTCTTTCTATAGAATAACTTCATGTTACTGTAAGTTGGACGCACCAAAGTGGATGGATGCAAATTCATTAAATTCTGTGACTTTTCCCACCTTTAACTTAATGAAGGAATACAACTGGAAATAATTCCTTCTATAGAAAACTTATGCATCCATTTCAAGAGAAAATGAAATACAATCACAGTGGGTTTGGTTAAAGCTCAGAGTGGAACCTTTGATGAAGGTGTGAAGACAACGCTGCATCGTCACACAGCTGAGACAGACCACGTGGCCATTTCTAAGCTCTCACCACAAGTGATTGCTTTCACGATCAACAAATTTTTTTGTTCTTTCTGTTTTGTAGTTTCTATTTATTAGGGGTTCGGTGGGCGGAGGAGCACACCACGCAGTATCTAGGATCAGTTCTGTGGGTCTATGGTATCTATAAGGCGTGCTGAGTAAGGGCCATCCATTCCTATGCAAAGCAAATATATTTCACACGGCACCATCTCCAGGGCCCACAAATTAGCTTTTTAAAGGACTACAACTGTCAAGCAAATGAAAACTCACAGCATTTTTACACAGGGTTGATTTCAGCACCTAAAGAAGCTAAGGGTCCAAGCATCAGGCTTTGGAATTCCTCCCTGCCAAACCCGTCCCTCCACCTTAACAATCACATACTTGGTCCACTCCCGCTGGCATAATAATATATATTCCGAATTAGCGAATCTTACCAACTCACTCATACTTGCTGTCCGCATTCCCAAATCAAAGTGCTGTAATGCCAAATCTCGAAACCGCTGTTTCAGTTCTGAAACTGAACATAACATGCAGTTCAAGCAATTGTCAAAAATGTAGCAAAATGATGCCATGTATTTAGAGTACATCTCTGTGGTACTCAAAGTCCATAAAGTCCTACACTAAAGAAAAGATTCAGTTAGTGGAAACGGTGAGGATCTTGGCAATTCTCCACTATGTTTTGTTTTTGTTTTTGAGAATTACCTGGTGATGTTTGGGGAACCAGGTTATTGAACAGATTATTGAGCAGGTCACTTTCAGGCACTGCAAGGCACTCCCTGCTGTACTATCGTTCAGATCCACACTGGCTCTGTTATGGTCTTACTTATTCGAAAGCCATGGAAGCAAGTTACAGGATCATTCTGTGTTCAGGGGAATGAAGAGCAGCGCGAGTGCGGCACAGACACAAGGATACAGGAGACCAAGGCCCCTGTCTCAGGAGCGTTTTTCATACATGCTCAGGGCACCCATACACTGCACAGGCCCTGAGCCAGGAAGGGTCCTCAGACACTCACCCAAACACAAGTCTCTACTCCCCAACCTCAGGTCTCCTCCTTCCAGGCAGGAGATCACCGCAGGCTTCATCCCATTGTGCCCTGACACAACAGAGACAGAGGCAGGGATAAGTGACAAGGAAAAGGTGACAGGTAAATCCCCGTGTTTCCTGATATAGCGGGGCAAATTACTGAAAGGCATGAACAGAATGTCCATTTCCAAAACAACACATATTTATAGTTACTCAAGAGGTAAGACCCAGGTTTCAATTAAAGAGTCAAATAGGTGGACCCAGAAAATACCACAAATACTCTAGACCTGTCCTTGTGTATGACCTACAGGGGTTTATCAGCACAGTATGTTGTTGGTTTTTGTCTTTTTTGGGGTCTAACCTGGCAATGCTCAGGGATGACTCCTGACTCTGTATTCTGAAATCAGCACTGCTGGTGCTCGGCGATGACATGGGATGCCGGGGATTTATCCCAGGTGCACTGCTTGCAAGAAAATCACTTTCCTCACCATACTGTCTCTCTAGGCCTAACACCAAATGGAGTTACCTGAGCCCCTCATGATATCAGAAAACTAAGTTATTAATAAATCTAGAAATGACCAAAGGTGGCAAGAGACCCTTATTTTTAAAGCTAATAATGTATCCAGAAAGAGATCACAGCAGGAGTTTCCCAAAGCCAATCCAGTTGCAATACCCGATATCCCCTTTGGTCCCTCACGCCAGACAGGAGTGATCTCTGAGTGCAGAATCTAGGAGCAAACCTTGAGTCCCTCTGAAGTCTCAAAAGAACCATTAGAATTATCTGCAAGCACTGAAATAGGGCAGCGTCTAATGAGTTGAGAGACAAGATATCAAATCCCCTGTGGTGGCAGAGAGATAGTACAGCACATAGGACAGAAGCGCTGCACACACATGTCGGTTTGATCCCAGGCAGCCCTTATGGTCTTGTAGCAAGGCTAGGTGTGGATCCTGAATACTCAGGCAGGAATAAACCCTAATCCCTAATGCATAAGGAAAAAAGAAAAAGCAAAAACCTTATGATTTGAGTGCCTGGTGCAAAAGTACTGGGGTTCCGGCACCAACATTTTAAATTGCCAAGAGGTTTCAGTACACGGTATCCCGTTTTCCTTGCACTCTTAGGAGTCATCGTTTAGGACAGAGCCAGGAGAACTGTAGACTGTGCTCCCTAAACAAAGGCAACAGCAAAGCCTATTAAACACACAGAGGTTTGTGTAGATGGGAGCCTTGTGGAGAGCAGGTATGAGCCGGGGGTGAAGGAGCGACTAAAACCTCATGGGACGGGGGGCGTTCCGGCATGTCCTTTACGCCCAACCGAGGTCACCAGTTGCCCCGCACGAGTGGCTCTCGGGCACGGCCATGGCCCCAGAAGCAGAAGGACTTAATGCAGAAAACAGCGGCTTGGAGCAGAAAAGTGAACGGACTATGCGTTATTCCATGCCATTATGTCTGCCCGGAGGGGAAAGGGTGTTGCTCCATTCGCCCTCTCCTCTCTGGAAAGAAAGATGGCAGCCACATAGGAGCCTTGTGGACAGCAGGTATGAGCCGGGGGTGAGGGGGCGACTAAAACCTCTTGGGAAGGGGGGCATTCCGGCCTCTCCTTTACGCCCTACCAATGTCACCAGTTGTCTCCCACGAGCGGCTCTCCGGCATGGCCATGACTCCAGAGCACAGAAACCAATCTCTTAATTATCTGACTCTCAGTAGAAGTACTTCCAGGGTTAATAAGTAATATAGCAGAAATTCAAAATATCATTTAACTCTTTAACCAAGCTGTAGAAAGCAAATCATTTCACAATGCTTTTTCAGCATGCACATTTGGGGGGGTAAACTCTAAATAATAATGGTGCAACTTTTATTGAAACAATGAAGCTAGTCAAAGTAGATAGAGTGTTAACTAGAATTTATCTGCCTCACAGGCATTGGGGTGTGGGGGTTTATTGGGATTCTTCGTGGTGAAAAATAAGTATTGGAAAAGGGAAATGTGATTGATATTTGCATGACCGAGACCTAAACCTGAAAGGTTTATAACTTTTACCAAAGAGATTCAATAAATAAATAAATTTAAAAATAAAAAAAAAACAGAAGTTCGTGTAGTACACAAAGTAAATTGCTTCACCAATGGATGGAACTATTTAAAGGGAGCTGAGCGATAACTGGGCAGATAGGGATCTCCCCATGGACACAGTCGAAACGGATTGATCTGAATCACCCCGCAGGGTACTCCACAAGAGTGATTCCTAAGGACAGAGCTGAGAGTAAGCCCTGAGTATCCACAGGTGAACCCTATAAAAAAAACAGAATAGGCCCTGAGTATCCACAGGTGAACCCTATAAAAAACCAGGGAGGGAACAATTACCTCATGACTTTCCAACATCCCAGCCCATCACAGTCACAGCTACTGTTGGACACACAGCTATGGCCTAATCCCAGGGAGCTCAAGCGGGTCTGTCCAGAAACGGTTGGCTCCACACTGCTCTCACCTACAGCCTGCAGATGCTGGTAGATCTCCAGCATCACGTCCCTGTAGAGCTTCTTCTGAGAGGCCGCCAGGCATGACCATTCCTCCGGGGTGAAGTTCACAGCCACGTCATGGAAGGTCACTGCGTCCTGAGTCAGCACACAGGGAGGGTGGCAGTTAGAGTCTATCTTAGTCTCATTCCCACTCCTGTGAGGCCAGGATCCAGGGTCTTATATTGTCGCTAGGCTTCTGCCCTTTGAATGAACCAGCCTCCAAGCACATGCATGGCTAACAGGCCCCAGAAATCAAATAAGGCAGCTGGATCTCCTTAAGTGGGAGGATGTTATACAAAAGGTACTTGGATGTATCTGCCTCTCCTGGAAACTCCACGGCCAATTCAAACACCACTAGTCCAGTGAGCACTGTAGAGAGGGTCACCTGAATGCAGACTTGTATGATCCAAAAGACGATCCCTGGGTGCAGCAGAAACCACTGCACGCTTACTGCTGCACCCCCAGTGCTCATGACCACTAAGACTGAGAACTGGACAGTCCATATAGACAACTACTCAGAGCAGTGCATGGCATGTGTGCTTGTAGAAACTCACTGCTCAGGACCGCCCCAAATCCCACTCAAAGAAGGTTGAAGTGTCTTGTCCCCAACATCTCTACTGGCCTCAGAAATCCTTGGCTCCTTCTCCTTGGGATCGGTGCATGCCCAGAAATCCACACATAAGATTATCTGAATGTAAGACTGTATGGCTGAGAAGGCGAGGCTCTCCAGAGCAGGAAGGACAAAACAGGGGAAAAGCAAGTCCTGGGGCCCAAGTCACTGTAGTTCCCAGTGCGCAAATGTGGCCAGCACACCCCAGGGTGTTCTGATGCCCATCAGTTGAGAATCCAGAGCACAGAGTCAAAAGGATGTCTGAGTACAAAAACAAAGCAAAAGAACACGAAGCAGCAGGTTGGCATAACAGGACAGCAGTTCGGGGACAGCGTCTAGGACTTGTGATCCTGCCAACCCATATGATCCAACAATCACTGCCAGGGCCAATGCCAGAGTGCAGCACAAGAAATGATTGCGAGAATCCTTTGCTCTGCCACCCCAAATAAAACAGAAAACCCAAGACAAGATCTTTGGACCTCCAGCATCTCATTGGTCGCTTAGACGTGTCAGGAATGATCGTTGAGCACTGAGCTTTGAGTACTCCTCATGTACCGCTGGTTCTGTCCCCAAGCCAAATATGGGGCGGTCCAATCGGAAGTCTCATCTTGCAATCCGTCCAAAAGAAACTCAAAACAGATCACCCAGGAAACCCGGGATCTCCTGCACTACCTCATGCCATTCTGTCCCTCTACTCCTACCTTTGGACGGTTTATCAGAAGCCGCATCACCATCTTCTCCCGCCACTGCTATTCTGAGGATCAGCAGGAGACTCCGTGCCAAGACCTGGAGAAGTCATAACAGTGAGCACCAGACAGCAGAACCTCCTCCCACCCCAGAGCTCAGACTAGACACACTTCACAATTCCACCTCAGGGAGACAATGGCAGAAGCTCCCGTCTCCCCTGGGGATGCAAATTTTGTTGGCATCTGTTCTGCACTGCAGGATAGGAGCTGAGGCACAGGTTACAGGGGAGGAAACAACAGCCTTCTCTGATCCCTGGATTCCTCCCTGGATTGCACAGGAAAATCCCTACAGTCCCAGCCAAGGGCTGACTCTGAGTCCCGGTGTTCCCGAGTACGAGTGCCCCTGCAGCTGGCAGCAGTGGTGCCCCCTGGGAGCTATAGCCTGGATGAGGCTCTGCCATGGGGAAAGTCACAGGGACATAGAGTGGACAAAGCTTCAGCCACTCTCTTGCAGACGGGACAAGTACATGTGCCTGGGCACTCTGTCCCGGGGACCGAGATCACTTGTGGGTACAGTTGGGTCAGAGGCACAGCCCTGCTCTTTCCCACTGGACCTGTGCCCTTATGGGTCCTGATTTACTCTAACCCTGAAATGGCACATCTGCGTGAGCCTTAGCCAACACTTGCTCCTGTCATGCAAGAATATATTAGAAAACCGCACAAACACTTGGTTGTATAGAAAAATAATTCAAATAACCAGGGCATTTACTAAGGACCATAATATGAACTGTCAGGAGTTAAGACCTGAGCACTGTAGATTATGACCAAAAACACTGCAAAAAAGGGCAAATTCGACACAAAAGTAACAAACAGAATTCATGTGCAAAATAAGAGGGAAAAACATTTAAATAGTCAAATAGCAGGTCCTTAGAACTTTGTTTTTCTGAACAATTTTCCATGAATTCTTATTATTCTCTTTTTCTGTGATCACAAGTTTTCTATGCACATGTGTGTGTGGGGGGGTGCGTGTTTTTCTTCTTTGAGTCAGAACCAGCATTGCTCAGGGAGTATTCCTAGCTCTGCATTCAGGTTTCACTCCCAGCAGGTATGGGGAGCAGTTGGATTCAAGACACAGAACTTGGGTTGGCTGTGTGCAAGGTAATCACCCTACTTGCTGTACTTTTGCTCCTTCCTATGTAAATTTCTTCCAAAAATACCAGGAGTGAGTCATGAACACAGCTCTCCCTCCCCCCGCACAAAAATATTATTTCAAAAAATAAACATTAGAATCCCCTTTACCTTCAGTATTTACCCCAATTGCAGGGGTTGTCGGCTCAGTGAGAGATGAAGAGTCAGGGCTGCTTTACAAGTTGATGTGAGGGAGGTGAAATTCATGATCCGGAAAAAGATACACCAGTATTGTAGTTGGACAGGTGAGCAATGTGAGTTGGGCGTTTGACTAGATGAACCGATCAGTCCTCTGCATCCCATATGGCCCCCAACAGTGTCAGGGATAATACCTAAGCTTAGAGGATATAGAGTAAGTCATGAGCATCTCGGGGCATTTGCCTGCCCCAATCCAAAGAATCAAAAATAGCCCCCCAAATACATTTTCATTGGCAAACCTCAGACAAATGCAGGCCCCCTTCCCTCCCACATACCCCACATATCACAGCAGACAATGAAGATGACGAGCAAAAGATCCCCTGCCATTAACTGGAGGGGCTGAAGCTCTGCCCCTCAAATCTGGAGATTCTACAGAAGCGAGGTTAGGGCCGATGGTTCAAACATGGAACTGCTGGGAGGGTTGGGACTGCCAAACTCCTGGCTAATTCCCGCATTCACCAACTACTGCCCCTCCTGGAGCTGGAGACGATCGTGGCCAAAGAGGCCCCCCAGGATCACACACTCACAACGGCCACCCCTGAACCCTAAGGCAGCCCCCACTGCACCCCCAAAGCTCTGCGTCTCCCTAAAGCCTGCTCCGCACCTCAGAATCCACCTGGATTTCGGGGAACAAGTGAAAAACCAGTGCAAAAGTGCCCCCCAAGCTGGCTCAGCCCCTCGGCTCAGAGTTTGGAAATGGGAAGGCAGGGGTGCTCACAGGAGGCTGCTCGAATACTGCCACAAAACCCGCCTTCTGAGTCCCCTTTCCAGGATGGGGCGCAAATTTACTTGTCCTTTGCCAACTGAGCAACAGCTCCAGTGTCTGAGTCAGGGATGGAAAATGAACCATGACATTTATGATGTCACTTATGACATCACTTCCGTTTCCATTAGGTACCTAAAAGAGCCAGAGTCTAGGCACTGAGAACCTTTTTGCCACCCAGGTGAATCTGTGCTGCAAGGGGGATGGAGTCGAATAAAGGAGTGGAGAGGCAAAAGTTGGACTGGTCGGTCACACACTGGGGCCTGGTCGTAAGGAGAATTCCCCTGATCCTGCAGTTGTCACCAAACATTGAACCAAAGATATCTAGACACACAATGTTACCCTGATCTTGCCAAATGATCTCTGAGCTAAGAGACAAGAGTAAACAATGAGTGCTGTATG